GATAGTTTCAATTCATATCCTAACAGTTCATTACGTATGCTTTAAGTGAAGATTATGCTTCCTCTTCCTGTCCATGCATCATATCATTCTTGTTGGGTATCAAAAATTTTAATTTTTTCCTGGTTGAAGAGTATCAAAACTATTTGAATAGAGTCAATTGCGCCGTTTCGCCCGTGACAAGTATGTATTTTCAAATTATATGGCTGGCATTATGACTCCCACCTCGTCCTTTCAAAGCCAGCATTTATACAGCTTACAAAGAAATTGAGTACTGTTCTCTCTACACTTCGTCTTTCTAATAAACAAGAAAAATAGTTCACTCGTTCCCCCCCCCAAAAAACGGGAAATTAAACCCATGTCTGCGCACGTAAAATCTCTTAATGTTTATGGAGATTCTTTTGCCCAGTGAACGAGCATCGATTTCTATGGGAGCATTTTCTACAATGACCTTAATTTTCAACAAAAATAAATGCTTTTCACAAAGATTTTTGGAGCAATTTTACATATTTTCGAAACATTCAATTAGCCGAGATTGGATTTCAAAGAAACCTGGTCATGGCCAAGAAGGTCAGATTGGATATAAAACGTCCAGTTCATTAAAAGACAGCCAATTCTTTCATTTTCAACCAAAGATACTGTAGGAAATAAAGTAATGAACTAGAATCCAATCTATCAATGTAATTTTAATTGTCAAATCAACCACACTTGACCGAAAATCCCTCCTTCTACTCCCTTGTCCCACCACACCCTAAAACCTAGCATCCTTCGCAATTATATGTGCGGCACGTCCTGAAATGAAACCCTGCTGCTATTGAAATGAATATGATCCTAACTAGCTAGCAGGGAGAATGTCACCTGCCTTTACAAATCCTAGCTGGAGGACTGGGTAAAAATCAATCAATTCTTTCTATTGCTGAAATATTCAGCCGAGAAACATTTATGGATGTGCATATACAAGTTGACGGGGCACGATCTACTGAACTCTTTATCTAATTGTTATCGATGTACTTGTGGGATGCATACATTTTGAAAAGTTGAACTTCTTTGTTGGGATGGTAGGCTTGAGCGTGTCAGGTATATATAAGAGACCAATTTGAGGGAATTGGAACTAGGCTAAGCCAGAACAAGCTAATCACCTTCAGAACCTGGACTCACCAAGAGTCTAGACTTCCAGAATCGGTCAGTTGTCGAGGGTAGGAGATGCTCAAGTAACCATTTTTCAGAGAGAGACCCATGTAAAAAGAAATCTTCCTTCTTTTTTTCTCCTTTCTTGTCTGTTACCAGAGATAACACCGTCATATTAAAATAATTAAAAACATCCCGAAAAATTAAAAACTAAAGCAAAACAGATACTTAGACGAACAGAGAGAGCACAAGCTGACGGCCATGCATGTAAAGGGTCTTTTTAAAAAAATTAGAGGCCAAGCGGGACATGGGCTTGCATGTAAAAGTTGTTTTATGGGACCGAGTTTGGAGTTCTCAAGCGGGACATGGACTTGCATGTAAAAGTTGTTTTTGATTTGGAAGAGCTTTCGTCATTGTTTTATGGGACCGAGTTTGGAGTTCTTATTGGGTCTTGTAATGTTGGGGCTATTAGCCCAATATTCGGAAAGGCCCATATTAAGTAGCGTGCTCATGGGTCGTTCTTCACTAGGCACTTTGTACGCGACTTTAGAGCCTGTAGGGCCCAAACTTGTCAGAAATCCCGAGTCAAACCCGTTTGCTTGTCACCAGGAGCGATGCCGGAGTAGTGAAATATTAAGAAATAAGCCGTATATCGCCTCTAGAGCCCCGTACTAGCAAATATAAAATTTTCGAGAGCAGAACTTTAACAGTATAAATTCAAGAACTTGTTCTCTTTTTCTTCCTTGACGGGTCCGGATCTAAAAGAGTTCTGGAAGTCACAAATTTGCTTTAGCTCATAGCTCCCAAAATCTGTGCTTTTGACCATCCCGTGCTCAGAGCTGAAACTCAAGATGCCAAGCAGAGCGAAATGGCGGACGGGATCCACCGCCATCCACAAAAGGCACAGAAAAGGTGCAAGCTTCATATTGGTGGGCGAATGGGCTAGTAAAAGGTCCCCAACTGTAATTCAAAAGCTAACCTCCCATAAAAAATCCGGTCGGCGAAACCGGCGAATCCCCCATCAGTGCCACGCAACACTAAGTAACTAACTAAACAAGCCAGCACACCCGATCAAAACCTAATGCTTTCAGGGACCCTAAATTTCCCTATATTTTTTGTGTGATTGCCTACCGTAGTCGTTGAAATTAAAAAAAAAGAAGAAGAAGAAGAAAAACTTGAAGTACTCTAATGAAATACTCTATTTGAGTTGGTCGACTAGTTTTAATTTGAAGTGCTAATTGCATAATTTATCTTCGTAAATTATGTACAGAATATCGTCTCCGAAACATACCTCATACTTCGACCTACTTCACCAGAACAGGACCGGTTTGTGAATGCATGTCAAATCTATACTGGAAGCTTGGTCGTTAATTTCAAGATCTATGAAATTAGTTGTATTACATGAAATTGGTCTGAATACTCCCATTAATCTCAAAAAAATATCAAATTTCACATGACTGTTTTATCCTCGGTCACGTGTTCATTTCAATGCTTCGTGGTCATCTATCATCATTATGGCAGGCACCCTTCGAGAAGCCAGACTTGCAGCCATGATTTGTTGAAGGCGTGGAGAACCAACAAGATCTGAAAAGGGGGGAAAGGAGTAAAGGTTGTTAACTTTAAAATGAAAAAGGACACAGCTCGCTCGGACTGCTGGCTCCATTGACAGTCAATAAGGCGAAGGAGAGTAGGGCCCATGCATATTCTTAGTGTCGGAGGTACAGTACAAGGTTTTGCCGTTCGTTTATAAGGAAGACTACACGCAAAGGTGATACTGGTATTTCATTATTTTGTATTTGTTTATCATGCATGCAGCTATAATATAGGTACACGGCCATGTCATGTGCACCAATGGACAGGAGACAGCATGAGGTCATTGGGGACACTTGGCCACACTGCATGTATGATGCCGAAACCAGTAACGAATTTTGATGGACAAAAATAAATAAATAAATAAAATAGATGTGTTTTGAGAATGAGAGGAGGTAGAATTGAAATTAGAAATAAAAGTGAAGAAAAACGTGAACAAAGGGTGGTAAAAACTTGGATTAAAAATCAATAATATTACTATGAAATTATACCAAGTCTGTCTGTGGGTAAAATAAGTCACGAGAAGAAGAAATAAGAAAAACAAGAGACCTAGCCTTTTCTTCACCTTTAACCGTCAATCAGTGCTTAAAAAAGTTAGAAGGGAAGAGAAATTGAGAGCTTCCTCACTTGAATTCCAGAGAAAAACCAAGATTAAAGACAAGATAAATAAAAAAATGAGTATTAAACACTATAACTTAAGAATTAAAGATAAAATTAAGTGAAAAAAATAAAAAAAAGAAACTCGTGACATTAATAAAAAAAAAAGATCATGAATTTTAACTTGTTAATATTTAAAGTTCATGTTATTATCCGGTATGATATTATAAGCTTTATAAACTTGATTATATAAGTTTAAATAAAGATTAATAAGGTTTATATAAAATTTTTAAATATTAAATTAGAGCTATTAAATGTTAATTCGAGAAAAAATAAGAATTTACACATGTAATGTTCTTGGGATGTAATGGGATGTAAATGACATTAAATAAAGCATAATTAAAAAGAAAAAAATAGATGTTAATGATGAAAATAGGCCCGACTATTTAAGAGGGAGAAATGAAAACTTTCGGAATCAAACTAAATGTTTATTAGTTGTGTGTATTTAACATGTGTTGTTGTGTTGTTGAGAATTAAAATTGATTTTATCACGTTGTTTAGATGTAGTTGAATTTTAAATGCAATTTGTAAAAAGTCTGTGAGAAATTAAGGAAATAAATGATTTATGGTTTTGTATTGATTGGTTGAGAAAAATAATTTATAGTTATGTACGAGGATAATTGGTTTAATAATTATTTAGTTATTTAAATTGGAAAAAAATGTTTGAAAGTGTTAATAATAAAAAGATTTCATAATGTTTTAACATATGAAGTCTCCTAGCGAGAAATTGTGAGTTATAAAAAAAAAAGTATTTTATGGAGCATCTTTTTATAACATGTACAAATTTTTTAATTTTATATTATAAATTTAGAATTTTTGGACTTTTAGAATTTTAATAAATGTTGTTTTATACTAATATTATTTTTCCCTACTGAAGTTGTATCATGATTCCATCCCTGTTTCCACCTACTTGTGACAGGAATGTGTTCAGCATGATCTATTGCAATCGAATTAATTTTCCGATTCGATTTAAAGATATAAATATTCTCAGTACTCTTCTTTTTTTTTTTTCCTGAGCAGCTGATCAATAAGGGATTTTTTATATGAAAAAACCAACTTAAATATTTCATTGCTGTTAATAAAAAAAAAATCAATTCTTAAATGGCCGAACATATTGGTTATATATAAGATAAAAAAGAATATTATATCTTCTTCATTTATAAATATTTGAAATAACATTAAAAGTGTTCATATCAAAATCATAGCTTATAAAAAGAAAAGGGAAAAAAAGAAGTTAAAAGTTTGTCTTGTAACTTACAAGGACGTGGAACCTAATATTTTGGAGTATAGGAAGTAAGTTTTTTTATGATCCGAATTAACATATATTCTAGTGTTTGGTTTAGCGGTGGAAGAAGTCACTGCATCTGAATTCGAGCCCTAGTATATATGTTTATTATCTGTGCAGTGTCTTACATACTTACTGGATTTGTAGGATATTTAGTGGGCCTTAGGGATTAGTTGAGGTACGCGTAAACTGGCCCGAATACCCCACATAAATAAAAAAAAATCTTATTATTATATTAATATCATAAAATCACGAGGAACGATATGTATAAAATAAATATTAATAAAATAGAGTGGTTATTCCAGCAGACTGGAGCCTATTTAAGCACTCAAAATCATGACAGTCAACACAGGCTCTCTCTCTCTCTCTCCAGTCCTTACTCACTAATCCCCAGAGAGAGGAGAAAAAAAAACTAATACACTCTCTAGTATCTTGATTTTAAGAAAGAAATGCCATCAGAAACGCCAGGCCTTCTGCCACTCTTCACCTTCTTCCTAACAACCTTCCTTCTATACTCCCAACCAATCTCAACCGTCGCTTCACCGGACCCCGCCTTTTCTCAATCAAGCGGCACAGATTACATTCGCTCAAGCTGCGGCGCAACATTGTACCCCGAAATCTGCTACACCTCCCTCTCTCGCTACGCCAGTGCTGTAAAACAAAGCCCCAGTTGCCTAGCTCGCGTGGCCATCGGCGTCAGCCTCTCAAGAGCACGCCACTTGGCAGCCTACATATCCAACCTAACACGCCATGAAGACTTCGGAGGCGATCACCGTGCCACGGCCGCCCTTCACGACTGCTTATCCAACATGGGAGACGCCGTTGATGAGATGAGTGGGTCGTTGAAGCAGATGCTGAAAGTTGGAGCAGCTGGGCTGTCGGCGGAGTCGTTTCAGTTTCAGATGAGTAACGTGCAGACGTGGATGAGTGCGGCTTTGACAGATGAGGAGACGTGTACGGATGGATTTGACGATGTAGCGGACGGGGCTGTGAAAGCGGAGGTGTGTAACCGTGTTGCGGATGCCAAGAAATTTACTAGCAATGCTCTTGCTCTGGTTAACACTTATGCCGCCGCAGGAACGCCATGATAGATATTTATATATCATTTTAAAAATAAATAAACTTTTGATTTGGATGTAGAATTAGCGTGTGAGTGTCATCTAGAGTGGGAAAGCAGAGAGGGATTTATGGTTTTTAAATGTTGGCCTTCTGTAATTAGATTTGGTTTTAAATGTGTGATGCAGCTGTTATTAGTGATTAAGATTTCTTTCAAATCAATTCTTATATATATATATATATAATGAATGTGTTTTTTCTAATTCATAAAATTTGCTAAAAAAGAGATGACAATATGATGTAAATCAAAAGGTATATTAATGAAAATATTAATGCTAATTAAAAATTAAAATACAGATATATACACAAATATTTCATCTCAATTGTTATTTTTATCTTGCACGTTTTCTTTATTTATCTTGAAGATAGCTAGTAACTATGATTGTTAGGTGCATGTAATTTTTATTTTTAGGATTATAAAATGCAAATATAATTGATTTATGTTAAATTTTACAGGAAAAAAATAAAAATAAATTATAATAATGTTTTGAATGTATTATAAAATTATAGAAATTATATAATTTCTATAATTATTTCACCTTGCAGATGCATCATTTCACCTTATCAACGCGGTCATTTTGCTCCATTACTATTTACTATAACTATTTATTATAATAGAATATATATTTTTTTGTCAAAATAATATACTTTGTAAAAAAAATAATGCAAAACAATCTCATCATGCAAGATTGAGTGCGGAATATTCATTAATAAAAATTAATTAATAATAATTTAATAAGCCATTTATGGCAGTGATCAGTTATTATCGTTTTACTGTCCTAGGTAGTCTCTCTGTTAAAGTGTTTCGATGATAAATATCCTTAGAAATCAAAGGAATTTGTTCCGAAAAGAGAAGACACCGTAAGAACTAATGTAAAAATGCCACAATTAAAAGAACGTTTTCTGTCATCACCGACACATCGTGGGTAATTATTGCTTTCTTAAATAATAAATCACTATTTGTTGGCATATAAATATATAGATAAACAATTTAGAAGAGCTGATTAGGGATTTAGTTAATAATTAGGCAGTGTAAATACGTAATAATAATAACTCAATTCAAGCATGCTAACCGTTGCAACTCACAAAAACGTGTTTATGATTTATGGTAGAAAGATAAAATAGAATTACTGTTTAGAAGTTTGGAGGTTATTTTTAATTTTTTTTTTGTTTTGAAATAAATATAAAAAATATTTTTTTATCAAAACAATTCGCAATATAAAAAAATAATACAATTTAAAACTAAAAAATAAAAAATATGATTGGACTTGAATTACGGGCTTAAGCTCCGGTTCCAAGTGTTTTTTTTTTATTAATATTTTTTATAATGATATGATTGATCATCATCGTGGTTGCATTTTCCACCTACCAATATTTATGAGCAAGGATTTGGTGGGAGATGCAATGGAGACGTACGCATATGCGTCAACATTTAATTCAATGATTATGTTTCTTCACATACGTTTACGATATGATATTTACTTCAGCCAAATCAACAAAATAATTAATCTGAAATATGAATGAGAATGGCTCTCTTGAGACAATCTCTTTCTTTACCTTTTCTTCCCGTCTGATACATAATGATGGCTATATGACGTCGAGTTACCTTCCGTTGACCTTCGGTCAAACTAATTGATAGCAATATGCATTAAAGTTTGAATTTTACAAGGAGACATCAATGAAATTAACAGGAAGATACATAGAGTTTGGCCGAGGGGATGCTTGTTTTCAGTGATATATATAGCCTCTGCTTTTAAATTACTCCGATTACCGAGCAATTCAATGTTTTCTATCCATTAAAGGCTGGTTGGATTTTGAATTATACAACTCTCTCCCCTCTTTTTTTTCCGGAACCATGCAGGATTTGAGATTAAGCTTTTAGTTTCTTGAAACCAGTCACCGGTTCTGCTCTTATTTAGTGACTTCGTATCTCTTAAGATCCTGGAGGATGCAAGCCAGTTCATGATTAGATGGTATATATATAATATACGTGCAGAGACATTAATTGTTGCATGATTGAATTCTTTAATCAGTTTATATTGTTGCATGATTGAATTCTTTAATCAGTTTATTGTACTGGGTATCTGCACAAAACACACCCGACTAATTTTGGCAGTTTATATGAAAATTGTCCCCTTGAGAAACTATCACGCATAAATTGAATCTGGTGGCCGGATTCCGGCCTGAACACCTAGCCAGATAATGTGAAAGGTGTTTTTTTTTGGTTTTTTTCAAATGGCGAACAGAGAACACGCACGGCTCAAGCTCAACAGGTAACGAACCATAAAAAACGAGGCAAGAGGCAGCAAACCAGGAGTGAGGTGAAGGTGAATGGTCACTCACAAAGGCCTCTCCTTGCATTATGCGAATAGACTCCTGGCGAGAGCGAAAGGATAAGACAATGTGAAAGCGAATGTTTTCTGTTCTGTTCGACTCAATGCGGCCTGTGAGGGTTTTGGATTTATTCCGGGGGACATAATCAGCCCGTGAAATGAAGAGACTACAGGTTGTTCAGGGTTCACGGGATGCAAACTTATCTGGGCCTTTTGTGTCCGACTCCTCGCCTTACAAAATTAATATTATAACATCTGGTCCTTTTTTTTTATTTTCAGATTCCGAAGGAAGAAAAAACAACAGCCCGGGCCATCATATCCTGTCACCGTGAAACGACGCTCGATGAAAACATGACACGTTGCACCAGTCAAATCGAAAAGCTGAACTGGGATCGTTGCAGGGCTGCGAGCAAGAACACGAGAAATACAACAGCAGGAAAATTCACTGAACAAGTGCCAAAGGTTTCGATGCTCCATGTTTATTTTATTGATGTGCCCGCCATGTGAGAAAAAATTTAAAACTATTTTTTAATAAAAAAGACTTGTTAGTTATTAATGTAATTTTTTATATCGTAAAATTTATTAATTGAGAAATATGTTTAATACAATGAATTCAAAAATATATAAACTGATAAATTATAAAATTAATTAAGAATCGTAATTAAAGATTGAAATTAAAAGCTGATATTCATAATAATAATTAAAAATTGAAAGATGAACTGTGGAATTGAGAAAAAAAAACCATTTTCAACACCAAGTTTTATATAGTTTTACGGCAGTTAAAAAAATATTTTAAATAGTTCTACAGATTTAATTTGGGAAAAAAATAGTTTTTTTTTATAAAAATTATTTTATCTTGTTTATGTATTTTTTAATTTTAATCAATCATGTTTTTTTTATTAACAACGGGATTTTTTAATAAAAATCCAAGATGATTAAAATAAATAATTATAAAAATTTAATAGTTTAATTATTATTTTTTTGACAAAAACTTGCCATCTTTATTAGGGGTATTTTTTAAAAATAAAAACTTATTATGATTCAAAAAATAATTTAGGTAAAAACAAATATTGTCTTTATTCTTTTTATACGTTTGTATGGGAGAATAAAAGAATAATTAGTTCGTAGGAACTACATAACAAATTCATGATGAAAAATACAAAAAAATTATATTTTACTCTTGTTGATATTTACGTGCAATTTTTTTTAAAATATTACATATTAGATTCGGATACAATTACTCATTAAGTAATTACAAATATTATTATAAGAAGCTATCATTTTATTTTAATTCGATAATTTTTTAAATATTATTGTAAATAGTTATTCGAGAAAGATTTTATTTCAAAGTATATAAAAGATAATTTAAGGGTCACGTCAATGAAGCTCCTGTGCATGACTTAAAAAGGAAAAAAAAGGCTATCAAGCATTTTTATAATCCTTATTTTAAAAAAAATAATAGAAGACATATCATTTATTTTTATATTTTTTAAATATAACAAATAAAGTGTTGTTTAGTTACGAACATATCCCAAGCACTGTGAGTGATCAAGAAATTAGGGTCCAGGTAACCCAAAATCTAAATTTCAACTTATTTTTATTTAAAAACATTCAAAGAATATTATAAAACTTTAATAACCTCATTTTCAACCTAAATAACCCTCTAATAAATATAAAATAAAAAAATTCAAATAATTTTTTTTTTGCAAACTCCAATCTAAGTTTTATGACATGGTTAAAAGATAAAATCACTTTCATTGAACTTTTACTTTTATGATAAATATATTGGCCTTAAAAACAGCTATTTTAATGGCTGAAATATGATTTATCAAGATCTCTCATCTTTTTTTGACAAATTTCTTTATTTTTTTCTAACATTTATGGACTGAAATATTATAAAATAAAGTCTTAGAATAAAAACATAATGATGTAAAACTAAAGAGGCTAGATGTAAAAATTGAAAAACTTTAAAAAATAAATTAATTTTTTTTTCATAGTACAGATGTAGTTTAGATGTGAGGATTGCGATGTAAGGGATCGTGCGATTCCTAATGAATTGTGTTTTGTTACGTGAAAAGAGTAATTCAATGAGTTTGTGAAAACATTACGTCATCCTGATCAATGTGATGATACGGATTCACCCATGATCAAATTAACATTATAAAATATCCCTCAAATCTTCTGTCCTTGACTAGTACTGTGAAAGGCAAAGCCATCATTGTACTGTACCAACCGTGACGAATCCACATCTCTCCCTCTTCGCACCAAACCTACAATTGTCACGTACGGGCCTGATATTTTTGGTTCATGTCCAAACAATTTTCACGGCTCGGTTAGAAACACTAAAGCCCATGCAAAAGGTTAGGCATTCGAGCGGGCACCAGCCCGAGCCCTGGTGCTGGGCTTCCCCAGCGTCCCATATATGTGCTGGGCACTCCTATCACATCCTCGTGGGTTCGGGAACACTATCGAAATCGAATCCCCAAATGATATGTCTTGCCCTAACTTTTGAACTCAAAAACATGTAGTCGATGCTTTTTTCTTCTTTTCCTTTTAATGTATAAGAGATATTTTTATTCATTAATATTTTTATAAAAAATATTTTATTCCTCATAACTGTTTTCAGGATGAAATTATATTTCAGGTCATCATCTTTATAAAAAAACAAAACTCAAAGATTATAAATATAT